CGGACAGCATATCTTCAAGTACTGATGGATAACCTTGAAGCTTTGTCTAGGTGGTTGTACATTCTTGTAGGTTATTGAGTGCACTCAATTATCTTTGAATCCCTCTTCCGCTTTTCAATTCTGGAAATCTGTCAGAATGGAATTTGACGCAGGACTCTGCAGCAATTCGGTATTATGGGCTAGATGACGTTCAGGAAACCCGTAAAGTTCAGGAAGAAGTAGAAGCCGATTGTGACTAACCTATTAATGTTGATCTTACGAGCTCTTCGCCTTTTTCCAAACCGTTTTTCTCCAACTTGTGCGAAAGCGAAGATAAGGAGCTAGGATACGCCGTGGATGAGAAATCGCGGGCGAAAGTGTCGTTGTTTTGTTTCCCAAATGGAACAGCATAAAAGTGAAAGGTTGGAGAGACTTTGAATTTCTCCCTGCTCCTCCAATTAGTGGACCCCTTCAAGTTTTTGGAGTTAAGGAGGAAGGGTTGGACTTCAGCTAACGGGGATCGTAGTCGACCAAACTGTCTCAGGTGTGGGTGCCGTGCTAAATCATCCATTTTTTGTCAACGCCAGTGTATGTTCTTCTGAAATCGCAGTCTTAGAAATATCGGTCTTGGTTCACTACACATGATGCAGTACTTTCAAAACATCCAAAGAGCATTATTCAACACCAACTTTCCATTTTTCTATCAATTTTCGTTTTCTTTCTCGTTTCACATGCAATTGATTATTTTTCATTTTATTTTTCTCTGTGTGTCCATACAATGTCCATTTTGAAGGTTTTTCGACAATTCGATCCAACTTTTCCGAATGTTCGAGAAATCGCATCCAATGCAAGCTTATGTTTTGTAAATGCTGATGAAATGTTCGATTTTCCAGGCTTGGGTATGACTGAGCCGAAACCACTCGACGAGGTTGGCAGCTTCCTTTATTTTCAAGTACATTCTATGTCCCAGAGATGGAGTAGGCGTGCCTCATCAAATTGCACAGAATGCATTTTCGTGAGATCTTTCCATTTGAGGCAGCTGTCACCCTATCTTCTGCTAGACAGCGACATGATAACTGCCTCAATACGGCAAGATTCCAGGAATAACGCAACCGCCGCATCCTTTGAATGAAGTCTGCAGCCTCCGTCTTCTGGACGTAGATCGTAGCTCTATGCACATTTCTGTTGCAGAAATTTTCCAACTTGATGAAGAAAGGCAAGAAGGGTGTCATCATCGTCTCCATAGGCACGGTCGTTCCATTCCACGCTTTTCCTAATGCCACCAAGAAGGCGTTCGCTTCAGTATTCAAATCGCTACCTGACTATCATTTCATTTTGAAGATTTCAAAAGGTGCGATTAATATTTTAGTAGTTTGTAGTTCAGTTAATTCACAGTTTACTATTTATGTAAAGAAATTATGTACACTCACCTCCATGGACTCTAATCCTTGGCATTATGAGGTGAGAGGGTCACAATAGCGTACAACTTTCCACGCCTGAAAGAGCACCGAAATGTGGTTGATGGTAGAGGCACCCGGATAGTGTCTCCCTGAACCGCCCGCGCTGCCTGTACTGCTAGCCACACGCCTGTTCATGGCCGAACGCGCCACGCCCTCTCACTTCTAGCTGTTCTCTGCGGCTGCGTACGTGTTTCGCTACGGGACCTCGGCAAATGCTGCACCTTGTGGAAAGGGGGGGAGGGGGTGGAGGTGGGACAAACGGTGTGTGGAGACGACACCGAGTACTCTACTTTTCTCCAGCCCACCTTCCATGCATCTTTGAACGAAGGAAGCAGCACGTTCGATGCAACTATGAACGAAGGAAGCAGCACGTTATGCAGCTGCCGCTATTGCCTTTCACATCGCACTGTCAAGACGGAGGTCTCCCTAGAGAGAGGGTACCGGTGTTTGGCGCTTTGACCCTGCTGGACTAGCCCGCCGAGTGGCCTGCAGTACTTGTCCCGCATCTACTGTATCTCTCGATCGAGAATGTGGAGCCGTTTGACTATTTTTTTCGAGCGCGAGAATGGCCTAGCAGGCAGACAGGTTTCTTCTGGATTGATTTTTTTCCAACTATAATATGTTCACCTTTAAATCAACCGGTATTCACCTGTATCACCTGTGCTCCCGCTGATCATCGAGTTCCTCGAGCGGGCGCCAGTAACGTCTCCATTTGTCCCTGCAACGTGCAAGAGTTGTCCAATGAACTTTCTCTGCTCGAGGGGGACAATTATGAACTTCACAGGCCAGAGCTTTTAGAGCGCTTTCGCGAGAAGTTAATCCATCGCAGTAGCGAGTCTTCCAGGAGCGTTCGCTGGACATCCCACGGAATCCATTCGGTGATCGCCTCGGGTCAGCGATCGTCCTGGCGAAGCGCTATGACGTGCCGGCCTCACCTTATCTGTCGTAATCTTTGCAAATGCGGTGCGTGTCTTTGATCTTTCTTCGTCTGCAGATGCGGGAGCTCCGATTCCCTCTTCTCTAGTGGGAAACTCGAGCATCTCCATTCGATGGCGCGTTGAATACGCCAACTGCATGCTTCATGCTGGCTTTCGTGAGAGTCCAAGTCTCTGAGGCGTACGTCAAGGCAGGAAGGACCGCGGAATCGAAGAGGTGGGCACGGAGCTTGGTGTTCTTCGTCTTCTTCGCTACTCCCTCGATGTTCTTGAAGGCTCCCCAAGCCGCTCGCTTCCTCCTTTCACCTTTAGATAGTCTACTAGTATCCAGAAGCGATTGACTCGCATCAGGCAACTCATTTTTTTACTGGTCTTCGAATAAAACTCGATTAGTTCTGAAGACCGACCACGCTATGGTTGAGGAATGCTCGAGGCTTCGGGAACGTATTTGAGTCGTTATAGAGAGCTGGTGGTGTTCCCGGTACTAAGCTCGCCAAAAACAGATATGAATCCCGTTCATTACGTTCTAGCATGCATGAGAGAGTGAGATGGAAGTGGGAATGCGGATGATATCGTCGCCATCAGTCGGAGCTGTATCAGCAGGCAGGAAATGAACCCTTTCGTAGCATTTCCTACCATTGGCTGTTTTGTCCTAGGCCGACCACTACTGGTAGAAAACGCCGCCACTTCCGGCCATTCCACGCCTCCTCACACTACCTGGCTGAGTGCGACTTTACTAGAGCTAGTGACGGGTGAGGAAATAATGAAGTCGTTCTAAAAATATTCTAGCACTCCACCGATGGAGCAAGGGGGTGGTCTGTCTCCAAAGCTTCTGGTGTGTGAATGAAATCCTAACTATAACACGCACCACAGCACGCTTGCTATGCTCGTTCATGTGGCTATTTACTGGGTATCATTCGGTAAGTCGCAAACGGTGGCACAATATGGAGACTTGATGTAAAGAAAAAGTAAAGCAAGCAAGGTGACCGTTTCAAAGAACGAAAATCAGTGAAAGGCAGCAGGCACACAAAAGCGGGTTGGCTTGAGTGCACGGCGCATCCCTCCAACTTTTTTTCAGCTTTCAACTTACATTTTTGTTTGCAGGTGACACCACTACAAGCACCTTTGTGGAAGGCCTGAATAACTGTGACCTAGTTGAATGGCTACCACAGAAAGATGTTCTAGGTTTGTGAGAAAGATATTGCTCCGTAGGGGGTTGGAAGACGAGTGACCGGTGACTCCAACTGGTCGTACTTATTGTCATAACGTTTTTTTTCTAGCCCATCCAAGACTGCGATTATTCGTTATGCATGGTGGTATAAATGGTTTAATGGAGGCATTACTGAGGGCAGTACCGGTAGTGGTTGTTCCCATTTTCGCTGATCAATTTCGAAATGGAAGAAACGCTGAGAAACGAGGAGTAGGAAAGGTACGTCTAGGTGTTCTTTCATAGTGTACTGCGTTGGCCACAAATAGTAGATATACATGTGGTCTCAGTGCGCGCAGTCTCACGACTCGGTGGGAGCGCCCAGACAAGGAGACATGACGTCGTAGCTCGGACCGTCGGCCTCTGCGATTACTTCTGCCCCAACAACGCGCTATGTTCTAAGTAGGCAACTAATATTAGGTTGTTCGAAAAGTCCTGCGACACTTTGACCAAATTTTTCGAACTAAATTTCTGGTCAGTAAAGGACATCTCCAATCTACAAGGTAACCGCAGTTGATGACTAGGACTAGT